ATAAATTTTAAGTAAAAAAATACAAAGAATGCTTTTTAAAACTGCTTTATTAACTTCACAATATGTAATGAGCATCTTTCCATGCAATAGGTATATTCTGCTAACAAAAGTCATATAGGGTGGGTCAAAAATACAATGTTCCATTAGAAGCAGGTAATAGAAGCTACATGCAAACCAGTGACATCAAAAGGCTTACAATAGTGCATCACAAACATGTAAGTTTAGGAAGCAGGTGTTTCTCTATTAACTTCAGGGAAAACATCAAGATTCAGGGCATAAGGCAAAAGTCATTGTGGTGGTCATGGTGAGGGGGATCATTGCGAACTGCCCGAAAGCTATGACTCAACTGCCTTTCTCTCAGCTTTTCCAAGAGTTGTCTCAGCTCCTCCCCAAACCTTTCCATATTCGCTTCTCTCATCCTTGCCTGTGGCTCTCCAAGCCTGTGCATCAGGTCCCATCTACAGCGCAGGATGAGCTGCCTAACTCGGAAATGCCTATTTCCTCTATGCACATTGTAGTCACCAGCTTCCAAAAGCAGGCCCAAGGGCTCCCCGTTATTAGCATGTAGCTCCTTTTCATCTTTTTCTTCGTTTTCCTGCTGGGCGTTTTCCACTTTGAGACTTTTTACCACTTGTTTCTGTTTGGATTCCATTACTCCTAGGAGACAAGAGACAGAAAGGGAATGAATTCTTGGTGGACTGATCAGCACCGAGGACAGAGGCCCTACTACACATCTTGAAAATTCTGAGGCCTGGACGTCAAAGGCCTTTTGTCAAGACCGTTTTCCAAGCTGAGAGGCCCCCAGTCCTTGCTCCTCCCTTCCCCCAAGCCCAGTATTTTTCCTGTAGATCTATCTCCTGGCCTCTGCAGGCACCAAAATGGAGGACAAGGAAGGTGGAAAACGGAAGGGAAGGGATGAAGGGGGTGCTTGAGTCGGGGTCTCAGAAAGGGGGCTTCCTACACATTCCACCCTACCCTCCTCACGGACTCGGACCTACCCTTGACTCCTCCTTTCCTCTTTCCTTCTCTCCCTCCCCCGCCGATTCTTGCCCCCAGGAGAGTCGCCATGGCCCTGGGCCCCTCAGACCTGCAGAAGGCTGCGGTGAGGCAGCAGCCCAGCGCCTAGAGCTGCTCCCCACCCCCGAGCGCTGAGCACCTTGCTGTCGCAATCCCGATCCCGATATCCCAGCATCTCCACCCCAATTCCACCCCACCTCGCACCCCGCTCAGACCACCATTTTCTGCACTGGGAAGGACAGGGTCGGGGGTTGGGCTGCGGGGCGTGGGAAAATGTCGCACTGTCTCTCCCTGGATCCTTGCACCCCCACCACACACGCAGGACCGAACACCTTCTGTGCCTGCCTACGGTGCTGGTGGCAGCATAGTCCACCCGCTGCGCCTCTGCCCTGAGGCAGCCAGACCTCTGGGTCTGAGGTTACGCAAGCCGAGTTTCTCTCCCATCCCTACGCCAGGGACCATCCCCCCCGCCCCCGAGTCCCTTACCCGCTCCTTCTCCGCCTCCTGCTGTTTCAGGCTGCTCCTGGCCCGCACGCCCTGAGGACCACCGGTGAGCAGGTAGGGCCTCTTAGGCCTAGAGGCTGTAAGCGACGACCAAGTCTGGTGGTGGACCCCGGCGCAAGAGTCTGAGTTGGCCAGTCACGTGAGGCTTCAGTCACTGTCCCGGCTCCGCCTAAATTCCCAGCCCTCTACAGCTGTCCAGCGAGGGGCGTGGCTAAACAGCCCCGCCCACCCCAAGTCCCTTTTAATAGCACCAGGCTAGGCCCTGTCACTACATTCTTTGTGTTCTCCTGGGCCTTTATCTGGATGCCAGGGAAGAGCAGTGTCTTCTTAGTGGCCATTGGTCATTCTCATTTCTCTGGGGAAATTGCCAGTCCTGCTCCTCCGCTCCTGGGATACACCTTCCTTCTGCTGTACTCTCAACTCTCCATTTCCTCTCCACCAAAATGTATGAAAGAAGTGTGTCGGGAAAAAAGCCTGAGAAAATGGATTTTTCTCATTCTTCCTGCTTTTCTGTATTATTCCTTTCATAGTCAATATATATGTATATAAATTTATAAAGGAAAATCATTATTTTATTTTAAAAAGCAGGATTAAAGTTGGGAAAGAAAACCCAACCTCATATGTTGTCACTATATAAATATAGACTCTATAGTCAGCTGCTTTTTAGAACTTGGAAAAGGACAGGGCAGCTGATGGCTCCTCTTGTGGGGGCCCCTGACATGTGAGGCCTTTCCATGAGGTGAGTCAATGGACATATAGTGCAACAGACTTTCAGAATGAAAGAAATAAAACCCCTTCACAAATGTGTGATCCAAATGATAATAAGTATGTCTGTATTTGCAGATTAAATGATCATTATTTAGAAAGTCCTAAGGAATCTGAAATAAACATATTATATGACTATGAAATGAATATAGGAAGGTTGCAATTACATGGTAAGTATACAAAACACAGTTGTATTTTGATATGCTAGTAATGAACAATCAGAAATTGAAATGCAAATATATCACTTATAGTAGCTTCAAAAATGTGCAATATTTAGAAATAAATTTTAAAAACATAAAAAGCCTGCACACTGCAAACTGTCAAACATTGCTGAAAGAAACTACAGGTCAAAATAAATATAAACATATATGATGGTAATCTTTTTCTGACATCCAATACTCGGAATTAATCTATAAAATCAGTGTAATAAAAATCAAATCCCAGTAGATGTCTTTTTCTTTTATAAATTAGCAAACTTACCTCCAAGCTTACATGGGAAAGCAGAGGACCTAGAAAAGATAAAATAATTTTTAAAAGCAATCCCACAAGCCTGGAGATCAGTACTGTATATGATTTCAAGCTTTAAAATGTCATAGTAAAGGTTATATCTTAACAGAGTAAACATATACTCATAAGCTCATATATCAGTGGAATCGAATACAGCTCAGAAATATAAATATATATATATATATATATATATATATGGTTAATTTTTTTCACAAAGACTTCAAACTCAGTAGGGAAAGTATAGCCATTTAATGAGAGATACTGAAACAAACGGTAATTCTTAAAGGAATAAAAGTATCTTACCTTTTAACTGTATCATACACAAATTAATTCAAAGTGAATCATGGACTTTAAAAGCTTAAACTGAAAAACTTCTAAATAGAATAAGACATAGAGAAAGACTCTACACTGTTAGAGAACATAAAGATTCCTTAGATAGAAAACAGAAGAAACAGGTCTCACATACACACACACACACACACACACACACACTCCACTCAAAATAAGAAAGAATTTAAATTAAAAATGATCAGAAGGGCTGGGGATTTAGCTCAGTGGTGCTCCAGCCTGCCTTGCAAGAGCAAGGTCCTGAGTTCAATCCCCAGTACCCCCCAAAAAATAAAAAATAAAAATAAAAATAAATCAGAAAATCAAATTGATCAAAAAAGTAAAAGTACAAATTACCAATGATCTTATTAAAATTTTGAAAATTAAAAGGCTGACACTCTCATGCACTTTTGAGACTATGAAATAACTAGAACTCTTATGCATTACTGCTAACAAGTTCAATCACTTTGAAAGACTTTTTGATAGTTTCTTGAAAACTTAAACTTAACATATTTTCTAGGAATTCCACTCAGGATTGTTTCCAACAGAAATCAAAATATATTTCCTCAGAAATATTTATACAGGAATATTCATGGCAATTTCTTTTATAATAGCATCTAAGTGGATAAGGACCAAATAACTATTAACAAGCAAATGGTAAAACAAATTTTTAGATCTTCATACAACTGAGCACTATTTGGCAATAAAAAGGAACAAACTACAAGTAAAAGCACTACCATACATGAATATCAAACAATATCCTTTGGGAAAAATATGGGACACAAGAGCTTTATTGCATGACTGAATTCATATCACTTCTATAACAAGCAAAATAAATCTATATTAAGGTAAATTGCATCAAATGAGTGTTTGCCTTGCTTAAACCTTAGGGTTTACCTCACTATAAAGGGGCATAATGGAACCTACTTAGATGAAAAGATGTTCTATATCTTGATGTGGTAGTGACTCCACTGGAAAATATATTTGTTGAAATCACTGAACTATACAGTTAATATCTATATATCTTGGTCTGGTGATGTAGCTCAGAGGTAGAGCATTTGCCTTACATGCTTGTGGCCTTGGTTTCACTCCCAACACCGTAAAAAATAAAAGAAATGTGTGCATCTAATTGTATATAAATAATAGCCCAATCAAGGTGATTAAAACTAAAAAGTCTAAAAATAAATCTAAATACTTGCAAGCCTCCTACTAAAAATTATAAAATAGTTTTGAGAACAATTAAAGAACTAAATGAGTGTAGGGATATACCATAATCATAAGTTAGAACTCTCAACATTTTAAAGGGCTCAGTTATAGTCAATTTGGTCTGTAAACTCAGTATAATTCATATAAAATTTTCAGCAAGTCACAATTTGTTGATGAGCCAATTCCAAATATATATGTGAAAATATAAAGAACAAAATCTACTCAAGACAATCTTGAAGATGAAAATCTCTAAGATTTTCACTACTAGATATCAAAACTTGGTACAATGTTATAGCATTAAATATAGCTAATATATTATCATTATTAGAATTATAGTAGTAAGTGCTCGGTGTGGTGGTGCATGCCTGTAATCCTAGCACTCAGGAGGCTGAGGCAGGAGGATCACTGTGGGTTCGAGCCCAGCCTAGGCTACATAATGAGTTCAAGGTCAGTCTGAACCACATAACGAGATATTGTCTCAAAAAGCCAAAAAAGAATAAAAAAGAATTATAGTATTAAATCTGATATACTATGGTACTGTCTCAAAGATTAAAATGTGTGTATGCATATATAACCTATAGGCCTGTGAAATATCCCTACATGTTTTCACTTAAAGTATGACAAAGATCACATATGATGAAGTGGAGAAATGATATTTCTTTGCAAAAAGTGGTACAAGGCCAGTTGGATATTCATGTGGGAAAAAGATATATATATTGACTTCACTTTAAATACACACACACACACACACACACACACAATGCATTACACATCTAGGAAAGGTGAAAATGCAATTTTATAATTTTAATTTACAAAACACAGAAGATCATCTTCAAAACTTTGAAGTAAGCAGTGTTCTTAATGGAGACAATAAAAGCACAAAGGATGAAGGAACATTATAAGTTGTACTTTATGAATATTTGAAAATAACTGTCCATAAAAAGATACCACTAAAAGAGTAAAAAAGCAAGCAACAAACTGAGAGAAGATATTTGCCACACATACATCTGATAAAGTCTCATATCTGTAATATATAAAATATTCTACAGTGAAGGCCTGGGGGTGAGGCTCGGTGGCAGAGTGCTTGCTTAGTGTGTTCAAGGCCCTGGGTTCAATACCCAGTATCACACAAAATAAAGAATTACTACAAATAAATACTGAAATGAAATGAAATCCAATACTAAAATTCAGACACCAAAAAGTATCATTTCACAAAATAGAATCTTAAAATATCCAATAAATTATATTAATTTGCTGAGAAATGCAAATTATAGCCAAAAATGTGATATCACTAAACACTGCCCCAAGTGTCTAAAATAATAAAGACAAAAAAACCAACTATTTTGAAGGATGTGCTACAACTAGAACTGGTACCAGCACTTTGAAAAACTGTATGACAGAATATCTTAAAAATAAGCATGTGTATGCTCTATATGTAGACACATGTATACCACAGCAATTTCACTCTAGACATGCTCATAAAAAAGAGTATGTATTCATTTACCAAACAGCATTTACATTTATGTCCATAATAGCACTTTTAGAATTTTATTTTTAATTTAAATATAAAATATAAAAATTGTACATATTAATGAGATACTACCACATGTAATGTTTCAATAAATATATATATTGTGTAAGGTTTAAATTAGGTTAAGCTTGTCTATCCTTTAGAACGTCTATCAATACTTTATGGTGAAAGCTACCAAAATCCTTTCTTCTAGCTTTTTGAAATGTACATTACATTATTGTTATCTATAGTTACCCTATTGTGCAAAAGCACAAGAATTTTTGCTTCTATCTATAATTTATTATCCATTGTACAACTTTTCTCTATCACTCCCTCCTACTTTCTCCAGCCTCTAGCAACAACCATTTCATTCTCAATTTCTAGGTTCCACTGATGATGGTGATCACACAGTACTTGTCTTTCTGGGAGGGTTATTTCTCTTCACATGATAATCTCCAGTTTCATGTTGCCACAGTTAACTTGAAAGAATTTCATTCTTTTGTATACTGGAATAGTATTCTTTTATATACCTGTCTTGTTCTTTAGCCATTCATCAGTTGATGTACACTTAAATTCTTCTCATTTCTTGGCTATTGTGAATAGTGCTGAAATAAACATGGAAGGGCAAATGTCTCATAGAAATATTGATTTCATTTTCTTTAGACATGTCTAGTAGTGAGATAGCTGCATCATAGAGTAGTTAATTTTTTTTAATTTTTGAAAAACCTAACCTACACAATGTTTTCCATAATGGCTGTACCAGTTTATATTCCCACCAACAGTGTGCAGTGGTTTCCTTTTCTCCATATCCTTGTTAGTACTTTTTATGATTAGTTTTTTTTACTTTTGCTGTTTTAAATTTTATT